CATCTCCTGCTGACGAATTCAGTGAGTGCTTTCATACACACGCGCGCTTTTGCTTGAGTGGTGACATCTCAGCCATTTTTCGGCCCAATCATTTGTTTATGCATTTTGAAGTGCGCTCAATCCGCTGTCACTCAGCTCAAGCGCGTAGCCTTGGCTAATGCATAGACGCCATTTTACCGCCCAAGTCACGCACAGAGTGCGCGAGAGCGTCACGCGCTGGCACATTCAGGGCAAAAACGTATGTCTTCACCCTGAGACAGACAGACATACAGCCACCTAGAGTTCAGCGATATCGACGACACCTAGCGGGCTTCAACAAAAAGCCGCGGCGGCAGGTTCGCTCGTCAGCCTTCTCGAGCGAACCTGATACTCACTGCGCCCGGCGGTCTACAAACGAAGCCGTGAGAGTAGGTTTGTAAAACCCGCGATGGAAATCGCCAAAAAAAAAACTCCCGTATTAGAAATTTTGACAAGAAAAAGATTGTCTATAGTGCATTGATAGGTTGATCGATTGTAAAACGTTTATTCGTCGAAAAGAGCGTGGTGCTAAGAAATCGCGTTAAGAACTACATGGAAGTTTTCTTTCAGTTGTCTCGCCTGCAGCGCGAGCTTCCGCACCTTCGATGACACTGCGGCGTCTCGTCAGCTTCGAGAGTGCTCTACATGCGCCCAATGTATAGCGAAAGGCATCAAGCTCGTGCTGTAGGCTGGGAATCCGAAAAAGACGCTTTTTCGTCCTAATCCCGTCAATGACCATAAAGCCGGGGTCACGCTGCTCATACATCATACAAAAGAGAGTCTGCAAACACGAGTCACCGCAATATCCGTGGTTCGAATGCCGCTTGCCAAGCTTCTAGAACAGATTGTCAAGCGCATTCGAAGCATGGATCTCGCGTTGACTCGCGTTCGAATGTGTGTACAGATTTTTTTTTAATGATATATAAGCAGTGTTACCCCGGCATAAAAGATGTTATTTTCGTCACCTTTTCTGCAGTCTCGATGTGCCTCTCATAGGGAGTACTCACAGGCGCCCATAGTTGCGTATGCGCGACTGCTGAGCACGTGCTGACGGCGAGCTTTTACGGTTTTTTCGCAATGTGCATTCCACACCATCAAGATTTTATGGCCTTACCAGCCTATTAACCTGAGCTCGCTCTCAGCATGCGCTCTAAACAGCCCCCTTAAAGGGCAACTCCGGTCCATACTTTCGATTTTGGGATTATGACTGTTTTTAGTGCAGTCAGCCTCCCTGAATTGAAAGGTGTAATTTTTTTCTCGTTATTGTGCGTAGTTTTAAAGATATCGCCGTCTCAAAGTTGTGTTTGGGGCGCGGCCGACAAAACCGAAACTAGCCGCTCGAGGTTCTGGCAACATTGGAAATCAGCCGCTATGTGGGCGTGACGTCATGGTCGTTCTCGTTGAACGAGCACGCAGGCCGAGCGGCACCTACGGCTACCTCTGTTGCGCTAGCCGTCTAAAAAAAGAAGGTAAGCTGATTTTGTTTTAATTCTGCATACGTGGTAGTTATCCAGCACATGTAGCAAGAGTTAGTGAGTATACCCAAAGGCTAGCGACTGGAACACCCGTCAACTCGTTCGGTGCCGTGCTCGGCGGCTGCCGCCGTGCGTGCGCTATGCCGTGCCGTACTCGTCGCTTGTATACCCAAAAGCTAGCGACTGGAAAACGAGTGAACTCGTTCGGTGCGTACTCGGCAGCTGTCGGCGGGCTACCGTTCCGGGTAGCGCTGACTCTCGTGACGCCACTGCTAGATAGTGAATCTAATTTGTAAAAATAAAATAACTTGCCGCACTAAAAAAAAGGAAAGAAAGGAAAGGAAGTTCTTTGGGCAGTCATATTCTTCTCAAAGCTAGCGAAAGTTTTTGTGATAGAGGAAAACAGAGAACGTTAGCAAGGTGAGAACACATTCTTTTCCTTCCACATCCCCCCCCCCCCCCCAACAACAATTTTTTTTATTGGAGAACGTAGGATCTTAAAAGTTTTACTTCGTAACTTTTTGACTAAGGCAAGTGTTTTTTTTTTTTTTGTTTTTTTTGCATTTTTAAATATTTTATTTACCTCCAGCCGAACTCGGGTAAATTAGAGTTGTAACTTACAAATCCGAACTTTCGCGATTTTTTGAAAGTCCTTTGTGGTATCCACAAGCCCAGTGTTAATTAATATTGCTGCGTAACGGGTTCGAACGATTGGGAGGCGAATGTTTATACCGCATAAGCTTCACGCGCCGGCAGTTCGCTAGTAGTCGTTACGGACCTTTGTATTACTCACGAGATAGCGTAGTAAACAAGCAGTGGCACAAAGCAGAACATTCTCTTTTCCTTTTCATTATAAGCCACCAGCAACCAACACCGTAGGTTTCGTCCGTAACTCTCCGGCGAAAAATGAGCGGAGCAGAGCTTCGATCTGGGGGTCGGTGTCCAAGGCTTTCCAAAGTCCACTCGTCGAACAGCGTTCACCCACACCTTCTCCGAATTCCGATCCGTTGGAAACTTGTGAAAAAGCACCTCCGGGTTGCGCAGCGGGTTGTTGGAGCAGCACAGCGCTACAAGTTGTACTCGGCATATTTCGAGGAACAGCCGGGCAGTCTTGGGCGCACCGAGTTGCTCGCTAAAACGAGTCTTGAAGTCCTCACAAGCAAATAAACAAAAGGCTATATCGAAGCTACACGCGCTACAGATAAAAGCAACGTAGTCACAAGCCGAAGTAGCGGTGGTAGCGGCACAAAGAAGCGCGCGCAACGGGTGCGCCGTGAGCCCGTCCGGAACGGAGAAAAAAAAAAAAAAGAGAACGACTATGACGTCACGGTCCAATGTTGCTTGAGCGATCGGCAACCCGCTGCCCGCCCGCTAAGGAGCAGCGGTTCGCGGCGGGTCGCATTTTTATTATCGGCATTAGTTGAGAATGCGGCGTCCCACGGCCGTAATATTTTGGCTGGGGTCGTATTTTGTGTCACTAAAGCGATACCAGTAATTTAATTCATTTTGAGTTTTGGCCGGAGTTGCCCTTTAAATATGGCGTCCAGTGAATACCCCCTATTAGCGGCGACATGTTTCGGTGGCGCCCTCGCGTGGTTACCTTTCGTGACGTCATTACCTTGCAAACAGCAAGTTCGATGGTGTTTGTAACTGGCACGGCGGAAGCTTGAAATAATAGCGTTCTTGAACCAACACTGTCAACACCGTCGAAATTGAAGTCCTCACGTTCCTGTTATTTCCGTCAATGAGAACTGCTTTGCTGACGTCAAAGTGAGCATTCGGCCAATCGTGGAAGGCCGACCACCGCGATACTTTCGATCGCGCACGTCGCCAATACTCCGTTCACCCTTAAAGCCCTACGACCAGTTCGCGCTTTCCACTTTTTTCCCGCGTCCTCCTCTCCTTCCTTCTACCCTGTCTACCGTTGCCGGTTTCCTCCTCCCCCATGGTGAGGAGGATCTTCTGCCTTGCAGAATCTCAAATCTGGTCGTCGGCCTTTAGGCTGAGGTTACAGCCAAAGCTACAAGCGCGAGCTAGCCCGTGCTTCTGGCTTTAGAGAAGTGCCTTTCTAGCGTGAGTGTTCGGTCTGGGGGAGCAGAACATTTCAAAGCAGCGACCTTGATCTCTTGTGCTTGTGGCATTGGCTTCAGTCTCAGCTTGAGAATGAACAAAGTATATACGTACTCCGTTTCATCTTTAGTGCAAGCGAAGTAGAAACTGCAATAGTAACGCGGCATTCGCACTGGCGGTGTAACCGCACTCGCTAAGCGGTTCCAATCGTGGCTGTTTCACAAATTCACGCGCATTTGGTGATGAGACCGACAGGGTCCGCTTCGCGGTTGCAATTCGAACGCCAGTGCAAATTCGGCCTAAATCCGAATCTTTGAACGGATCTGGTATGTAAGCGCGCTGGTGAAGTGAAAGCGTCGTTTAGGGCAACGTGTTCATGCTTTCTACACTGGTTTCGCTCGTAATTATGACGAAATAGAGAGAGATTTACACTGATTCCTCATGCGCGAACTGTGGTTTTTCGTATCACCCAGAACCACCGGAGCCTCCAACCCGGTTCAACGTGAGCAGTGTCAACAGCCGGTCCGTAAGCTTGACCTGGGCCGAGCCTTACAGCGGAAACAGCCCCGTCGTCTCCTACCTGATTCAGTTCAAAAACGTTTCAGGTGAGAGAAAAGTTAAGCCACTGGCTGCGCCGTGTTAATGGCGGTATAAAGAGCTGTCTGAAGCGGATGTCATTTGCGAACGTAGTACAGTTTAATAAAATTTGGGGTTGAGTTAAATATCAGCACGCCAGAAATAGGGGCCCTGCCGATAATATATCAAACTTTAATGTTTTGTGGATAGCTTCTAGCAACTATGATCAAAACTTTTTTTTTAGCAATTAGGCCTGCAAATTGAGATTCATAATCGTTTTTCTCAATCTCAGTTAGATAATTGTTCATTTTCATCTACATTGATGGTGGAGCTTGAGGGAAAAAGCTGTGAAATACAGCTTGACAAGGCCCTCGATCTCCTACATACGCACAGCAACAAAAATACAGGAAAAAGAATTACTACTTTATGCACAAGTACAAAGCGGGTGGATAACATACACACACAACACACAAATAAAAAATATTCAATAATCCTGGAAATATTAAAAAGACTGCCAGATCACTGGCAGTTTAAACTGCCAGTGATCTGCCAGATCTGCCAGGTTTAACTGCCAGATGACTGGCAGTTAAACCTGTCTAGGTTTAAAAAAATATTCTCTAAGTTGGTTAAATGACAAAACGATGTAACACGTATTAGTTATGGCTTCGCAAATCAGAAGTATCGTAATATTTGTGTTCTAGTCCTATTGAAAGCCCCCCCCCCCCCCTTTTCTTTTAAGTGTGTGCGTGTAAGGGGAAAAGGGTGGAGGGCGGGGGGGGGGGGGGGGGGGGGGGGGGCAGACGACAGTTTGCACTGAAAATATCGCAAATGCGAAACCGGTTAAATACTTGTTTCCCAATTATGAAAAATTTCCACAAGTGCTCACTTTCAAATTTCAAGGTGGTCACGCCGAGATGTATCGGCAAATGTTAAACCTTTCATAAAAAAAAAAAAAAAGAATCCAATGAAACATAACTTTTAACTTTAATTTTCATTGCATTACTTTTTTTTTTTTTTCCAGCGAGCTGGTCAAGTGGCGAGTCATCAGTTCACAACGTTACTGCGGGCCGTGACCAGACATCGTGGACGGTGCGAGGCCTACAGCCGGCCGGGACGTACCACTTCAGAGCGGCCGCCGCCAATGCCCTGGGTCTCGGGCCGTTTACGCAACCACCGCTCCTGGTCGTCACCGATGAAGAAGGTCTGCCACTATGCACTCCTGATAATCCTTTGCGTCGGTTCACGGCATTAACGGCGCTGCATAATTTTGTTTAATTTTGAAAAGGAGTCGTGACGACGTTATACCCGTAAAATTACATAAAATACTGGAAGATAATTATTAAAGGGTTCTATGCAAGATTCGGGTGCCCGCATTCACCGTTTTCTTATCGCTTTTTTGTTTTCCGCTCCCCATTATTATTTTTCCGGGATTAAAATAAAGAATTAAAAAGAAAATTTATTTTAATTATACTCCTGCAGGAGCAGCAGCATTTTATGATATCTTAATCGGCGCATGGGATCCCCTCCCCATGCCCAATTAAAGATCAGAAATTTGTTGTTCTTGTTGGTTGCTAGCGGGCACAAAATAGACTACTTGTCTTTGAGGCTATTTTATTACTCGCATAGTCCCTGATTCGGGCGTGTAGCCGCTACAATATTAGTCATTTATGTGGGAGTGAGGCTGTCCTACTTCCTTGTTAATGTGAACACCTGACTTTTTGACGAAGCTGGAAAGGAAAAGAGTGGCCAAGAACACCGCTAGCGTCCTTGTCCAATCCTTTATCTTCGCATTTCTTAAAAAGATTCAGTTGTCTACACTGGCTCAACAAAATGCCCGCAACGCACCTCCCGCACGCGCTTGGAGCTGACAACGCCCTACGATACATAGACTCCCACGAGCACACCGATTTGTGTGCACGTGTATGCTCGCGAACCTTCTGTGTAACCAAGTGTGGTTGACATGCCGTCAGATACGTTTATTTCATCCAATAGATAAATGCTGAGCGTTCATCACTTACACATTTCCGAATGATGCAGGCGTGTTCCATGCATTCACCTCCTTCTCATGGTGCGATATTACTTGCAATTCCGCGGCTGTGACGTCACTTCTGCGGCAAAACAAAAGCACGATGGAAGCTGCTGTGCCCGACGTCGCAGATGCGAACACTCAAGCAAAATCGCATCATGCGATAGAGGCTTTAGGTGCTGGTTTGTACTTTGAGACAAAAAGAAAGAGTGACGTGTTGCGATCTCAATAAAAATTGTTCTAATCCACGCGCGTGCCTTCCATTTACCATGAAGTGACAAAATAAAAACACAGAAATGCCTTTCCGCGAAGACATCAGTCCCGCGGAAATCTCTTTCTCAAAATAACTTGGGCTTTTCGTAAATAAATCTTGCTTTTGGCCAACTCCGTGCAACGGCGGGGAGTTACCTTCGTCAAAAAGACAAAGTACTAGTTTAACAATGGAAATATTTATGGGCACTATTCCTTTTGTTTTATGTTTTATTTATTACTACTGTCAGCCATTTCAGGGTTATTACACTGTAGAAGAAAAATACACAATGAAGCACGTACAGGGCGTTGGTGTTAACAGATTGCTCGTAAAAACAGACAAAAACGAGTTTACAGCGAGAAAGAAAGGCACCACGTGTACTAAGAGCAGTTACATATGCTGAGTTCATTGAGTGGCACATGCAACAATCTTTTCAAAATTTTCAATAAATGAACTCAGTGACGCTGGTGATACAGTGACATTCGGTAGCATATTCCGTTCTTTTATAGCTCTAGGAAAACAACTATTTATTTATATGTTTTGCAAAGAGGAAATAAAATAAAAGATCTCGAAGCCTTAGGTATCGATTATCCCGTCTAGCCGTTTCCGAAGTGTGATACTTAGAAATACTGTCTATACGTGCCTCAAGGCTCAAAACATATCAGTGCATCAAAATGCATTTGACAGCCATTTTGAATGAGCTTTGATGGGATCTCAATGCGAAAGGGATTCCTCATCGGGCATATTGCACTCGCAATATCTTCTTTTTATTTATTTTTTTTTCTGAAATGGAAATGTGACACGGTGCTGACGCGAGGATTCTAAAGAAAAAATGTCATCGCTGTCGGCAAGCACGTCCAACAATAGAACATCGGATCCCAAAGAGGGAAGGCTTCATTTACCTATCCATTTATTTGACCAAATCCGAGATTCAAAATTTCCAGACATCAAAATATTGAAGACACCAAAGCCTGCTTTTGAGTAAGTTAAGAAAGAAAAGACTAAGATTGGTTTCTTGACATAAATAAAAGAATATCCTAACACACTATATCACATTGCATTCACGTTTAATTTAAAAATGGTCGTGCCTAATGTTTTATAATTTTTTTTTTAATAGTTCCTGGCAGCCCTCCGACTGAAGTTTCCGTCCAGACCTTGGGACCTCAATCTATAAAAGTTACCTGGAAGGTAAGCAGATAATTTCTTCGTCATTCTATCAAACTCCGTCATAACGCAATTCCCCCCTCCAGAAAAAAAAAATATATGTATTTAAAGCTATTATTTAATTTTTATACTTTGGTAAGTTTTGCGCCCTAAAGCAAAGTTTTAAACAAATCGTCATCTCAGGCTTTTCTAAATTGTCACTCTGTAGCCATAATAAAACTCCTATTACGTGTATTTCTTTTGTATTCAGCTACGCAGATGAGCCTCAAAAGCATTTATCTCATTTACAGTGTTTTCATCTAGCGTGTTTCTTGTGTTTGAGTTGTACGTCCTAAAGGTCTGTCCTGGCGTCCATTTTCCAACTGAGTGTTTGGAAAGCTAATTATTGTAATCAATAAAGACAGCGAGCCCAGCAAATGACGAAACCAATGATCGCCTTTTAGGTCCTCAACCAACGTTACTAGAACAACTCAGTTGGGAAACTGCCATAGAGCCTGCCCTGAAAAAGTGGCACCGATCCGTACTCGAGAACCAAGCTAATGGCGATCGCAAATCTCATCCTCAGCGGCCACCCGGGGAGCCGCACGGCTGCTCTTATTGGTTCGGGAGTATCGCATACGATAGCGTCCGCTGTGACTGTTCTATTTTGGCTTCAATCGGCCATTTTGGTGCCGAAACATATACGGTGGAAGGGGTTTCAGTGACGCCAATCTTCAACTACCAAATGGGCGCGCTGCGAATTACTACCGAAGTTAGGATACGCCCAGGCCGGAACGTTCTACCTGAAATCACCGGTGAGACATGGCCGTATAAAAACAATATTAATTGTGCCACAAAATCTTTTAAACTAAAGATTTTAGAAAATATCACGCGCCCCTATCAGTTTGTACTACACTCCAATAGAAGTTACTGCGAAAAGTTTTTTCTGTTTGTTTTTACGCAAAAACATGCTCTCTAGAAGCTGATGGTGACCACAGTAAAGAGACAAGAATCAGCCGATATCTTGGCACCTCGAGCCTGGGAGTTTCGGTATTCTGGGAACATTAGCCATATAAAGCAACTTTCATGTTTCAACTCGTCGCTAAAGCGTGGCGCTGTTATCGTATTTAGCTCGGTCTCGGTGGACGACAGGGGCCCAGGTTTGAAGGGTGAGTTTGCCAACTTAGTGTTTTAATAACGTTGCCCTCAACCTTCAAGTTTATTAAACTCGAAGCGTGTCTTGGGCAATAGATTTAACCGAAAGGTTTAAGAAACGCGGGATGCGGCAAGTTCAGATAATCATTATATATTACTTCGCAGCCAATCAGATTCCGATAAGAACGACGAAGAACCAATCCCGAAGCAAGAAGCGTGGACATAATTAGCAATACCCTGCTTTTCTCGAGCTGTCACTACATAAATTAAGGTTCTTACTGAACACACACAAAAAACAAATAAAAAAACAGAAAACAAAAGACAAAACAATAAAAAGAACACCAATATCAATGCCCTTGCTCAGAACCAAGACATGCACCGAGATGATGATTTCGTCTTTATCACAATCGCCCTTGTTTATATTTTGAAACTAGATAATCTTATATATAACTGAAATCATCGATCAATTGGATAAGAGCATTTGTAAAACCCACAAATGCTTCGCAGTATATTTTTTTATAAATAATTTGTTGTTACCATAAGCCAGTTACTAACAATAGACTTGACACCACAATGTATTTATTATAAAGCTGGCTTCACTATCTTTTGTTTGAGACATTGACTCACGTTTTAAGAAATAAAAAAAAATAATTTTAAAAATTCCTGTTTGAAACGCCCGGAAAGAAAGCAATTCAAGAAAACGGTGGTATATATGCAACGTTTTGTCTTTATAGTCATCTTTGTCGTAGAAGAAAACTGGGCTGTGTGACTGCAGTTGGATGAACGTGTCTGTGCGGGTAATGTTTCGCCGTTTGTAGTCGATGGCGAAACTGTTGACATCATTCGTGCACTTTTTGTAAGTTAGATCTTTTGTTCTCCGTACTGTACTTGCAGTCTTCCCAAAAATACCATCTGGTTTAACTTTCTCCTTTATTGGAAATGTGATTATGGACCGCTGATCTAGAGCTGCAAACATATTGCTTGCCGCCATCATAGGTGCAACTGATGCGCATGAGTTGAATACTGACGAGGGTGGACTGTTGGTCGAGTTGGTGATTCACAATGGTTCAAAAGCGCAACGGGACAGAAAAGCGCTGTGTCTGTGTCTTTTTTTCAGTCTGTTGTCCTGTTCCGCTTTTTAACCAGAATTGAATACGTCGTTCCGTGCGCTGGATATCTAAGACGAATTACTTTAACGTCGCCTGCATGTTTCATTGTGCGTGCTACACTTCTTTGGCAATAATGAAATTAAATGCCAAGGTGCAAGCGAGCTGGACAAGAATGACGAAAATAATCCCCGGAGAAGGGGAACAAGAAGGATAAAGGACAAACAAAAATCTCCAAACACAACTAGGTGTCTGTTTATATTTGTGTTTGTCCTTTGTCCCTCTTGTTCCCCTTCTACAGGGAGTATCTTCGTCGACTTCTTTGGCGATTTCTTACGGGCATAATTTCCGGTCAAACTTGAGCGACCCTCGTATATATCGGATCTGGTTCGAAATTGTCGTAAACTATATACCTCGTTTTCTTAAATGCAAACACATAAAAAAAAGTCCATGATCGCTCTAATGGAGTCGGTGCATATAACTTCACTCCGCGGGGTCGTAATGCAATGCGGCGCAGCCCCCGCTGCCGGAGCTCCGGCATGGCCACATCAAGGGCTACTACGTGGGCTACAAGCTGCACAACTCGAGCGAGCTGCACCTGTACAAGACGGTGGAGGCGAGGGACGCCGACCCGGAGGCCCACGGGGAGTGCGTGCTCAACAACCTCAGGAAGCACACCAAGTACAGCGTGCTCGTTCAGGCGTACAACGCCATCGGCGCAGGACCGCGCTCCGACGAAGCCGTGGTCCGCACGGCTCAAGATGGTGAGCGACGGTCCTGCTCTCTCTCTCTGTCTCGAAGAAGTACTAGAACACAAGGAAACATCACGCTTTCGTGATTATGAGGATAAATTAGTTTGAACCGAAGAACATGTAATCAACTAGTGAAAATGTAACGGTACTCTCCTTCATTCGATTAGTCGTACATTACAAAGAGCGATAGTAGCAACCGCTGAAACAGCTGCTCAAAATTACGTAAAAAGAAAACTCCTTAGAGCATGGCCAGAAATTTGTGACAAGCTGTTCTAGTTCACTTATTTACCGACACGTGGCGTATTCACCTTTAACTTTTACGTCGTGTGCAAATTCCCGCCAAACCGAAATGCGTTCCGCGTGCAATGAATAAAATTGTGAAAAATAGAAAATAGAGCTACGTTATCAGAGCTTCTCAAACAGTACTACAGAAAGGGGGAAGATCAATTGATGGACAGCACAAAGAACACGCAGAGAGCGTGCTGACGCGGCAGTAAAACCCGCGCCAGTGTTGGTGGTTAATTCGACGAGACGGGTTGTTTGTGTGTGTCAGTGTGTGCGTGCGTCCGTGCGTGCGCGTGTGCGTGTGAACGCGCGCGCGTGTGTGTGTGCGTGTGGTGGGGGAGAGTGTAAAAGCAGCCTGTGAGCGCATTTTGAGGCAAACAAACGCAAGACGGGCGCAAAGAGCGGACGAGCACGCCGTATCAGCGCTTCCCGGTTGCAAGAAGTCGATAACACTATTATTCCGCGTTTTCATATCTAGCGATATGGAAGCAAAAAAGTCAGATCTGCGGAAGAATTCCGAACAAGTATTCGAAAAACTACCCGACAATACATACGCGATATTTTTGGAAAGTTGTTTGCAGATTGGCGAGTGTGTCGAGTAAACTACAACAAAAAGGATCCATATTTTGTGTTGCCTAAATTAGGCTTTCATGAACTCCACAACCATCGTATCGCTACACTGCCTCCGCTGAAGTCATCAGGAGCGAAATATTCTCTTTGGTATGACCACTTGCTGTGCTGATGTCTGGCTTCCTTTTTTCTTGGGATTTTTCTTGAAATTGGTAAAACTGAAAAACTCCGAACTGAAATTTTTGAATTAAATGAAACCCCAGGTTAACTGGAAAAATTGCTTTATTTCTGTTGACCCCGAAAACAAACCGCCCTTTTCCGCGAGGCTGCTTCCTTCTGCTGCAATTATTGTTTCTACATGGGCCACTTAGTGATAACTGGCGCGAATAGCATTGTGTGTTGTAAAAACGCGATAGATGTGCAATAGCTTTTACGACGTAAGCCCTGATAAACCCTGCTTTCTGGTCGACACCAGAAATAGATACCGAAAACAGAGAACTTTGAAAAAATGAACACCCAAAGACACCCTTAAATTTAAAAAAGAATACACAAAAATACGGAACCTTACCTATAAGTTATAACGAAATCTAAAAGCTGCACCAACATATAAGAAATCCAGCTTATAATTAGGATTCTGCGTTTTCGGAGTTTATTTCTGCTTAAAATCGCGGAGTGTTGTTTAGTGCTTATTTTTTACCGTAAATTCGGAGTTCTTTGGAGCTTTCTTTCATCGTACAGAGTTTTTCGGCTTTTTCGGTGAAGTGAACGAAAGGTTGAAAACAGCAGTTTGTGAATTTAGTAAAAGTATCCTTTTCAATGAGAAACGTGTTCGACGATTCCCCTTTTTTAAAATAGAAGCTAAACGGAAGTTCTTTGTGATCATACAAACGAAAGTTGATACTGCGAGGGCCTGAAAAAGGCCTGCAGTTTTTCAAATAAATAAATAAATATTAGATATAGAGAAGTAGAGCAAGACTTGTTCGAAGATCCCTGGAAAATATTAAGACCAGTAGGATTCATAGCAGTTGGCGGTCCTGAAAAATCTGAGTTTTTTGGGTAAATATAAATATTAAAATATTTTACCGGAAGTATTTTTTCGATTTTATCGAATTTGTCCGAAAACACAGAAGCATATTTATAGTACTCACGTCCGCCCCAGAAACCAGAATACGCCTAATATATTTAGAAGCCTTTATTAAGTAAATGGAGGAAGGATCTCCACTGTGACGATAAAAATAAAAAGTCGGTTTAATTATGCGAACTGTGTTAAAATAGAAGGAAATAATGAATTATTTATTTTGGAGGTACCGTTGAACTGTACCCGACCGTCATCTCGATCCTTTCAGTGCGAGCGATCTCTCCTTCCTCTTTCTTAGTTTCTTCCGTGTCTATTTAGTCTCCGGAAGCTTGCACCTTCTTTTTCTTAGTCTACAATACTTAATGATATCCCCAAACGTACAGAATTACGCATTCAGAACCCGTCTAAAACTGTACCGCGCTATTCATATAGTCTCATTCTCGATTTATTAGCGTGTCAGATCTTAGGCAACGTAAGTTCATTCATCCTCTCTAGACTCGTCGACTAATCTCGCTCTTTTGCTTACTTCATCGGTTCCTTCAAAACTTCGGTCAGTCCAGTTCACCTCTTTTGGAACCACTGCCAAGCGGGGCAATGCCAGCTCCAACGGCAAGGCTAAGTCCGTCCTGATATTTTTTATAGCGTTGCTCCCCCCCCCCTCTCTCTGTCTGTCTCTCTCTCTCTCTCTCTCTCTCTGCCTCTCTTTCTTTCTATTTTATTAAGAACCACCGGATTCTTTTCGTAAAAAGCAGCGAAAGCTTCCAGCGAATATTTCGTTCAGCATCCATCCTTTCAAAACCTCAGCACTTCCTCGTGCCATCCAGAACTCAAACGATCTTTCCGACAATAATTGACACCATATCAGATCGCAAAAAGTTGCGCGGTGCACTGGTTAACAGTTTCTTTCCACCAGGCTGGCACTCAACAAACTGAGTTTTTTCTTCTGTTGTTGAGCTATTGTAACCCTTACATTGTGTTCTTGCTCCCAAGGGCTTACTTATCAAAGCACGTTTATTCCGATTATCACAAAACGTTCGTCTGCCGTCGAAGGAATATTCTAAACTGTATCTTTGTTTTTTGTGTGTCACTATTGGGCTTATTCACATGTCATCACTTTTTACATTAGTGCTACATACCTCTTCCGCGGCAGACGTTTTCAGCGCTCAAGAATAAATAAAGTTGTGGCTACGCTTTCCGTGAGAAAGTCAGGAAATGCATGAAATACATTTGTTTATTGTTCATTTTTGTTTATTTATTACCTACAGTTCGCCCTTGGGGCATTATTATTCTTGTTTATTTATTACCTACAGTTCGCCTTGGGGTATTAATATTTAAATGGCGGGGAGAAGTTCGCACAAATATGTGGCTGAGGACTCGAGATTGCCTTTTCGAGTAACCAGTCACTTCGTTTGTTTTGACGTTCGCTCGCTATGTAATACTTCACCTCAGCTTTCAGGCCCACGTGACAAACTCCCACAATTCAGCTCAAAACGGCGTTATGACCATATCAGGAGTTCTTAGTACTTATCAGAAATTTGCACACGCCACCACGTTTTTGGAGCATGACATAAGAGCAGTAGTGAGGATTGCTGCACCGAGATTGTGAAGATTATTCACATTTCAAGAAACAGGCTGCTGCGCATGTGCGTTGTATATAATCAAAAACACGTACGTGTGGAAAAATACAAATGTTGTTCTGTCAACAACATGAATGATATTGCCTTTTTCACTTCCGCATAATTCCAGCGTAACTTTCTGATACTCCTATCAGAAAGATAGTTCCAAAAGTGCAATGCAACGCCGTTCTTATTCTAATGTGTGAGTACTACTCCGCTGACACAGCGGCTACCGAGCGAGATTGGTTCCTGCTAGTAAGAAGAGGAAATCGGAGGATTTAGGAACGACTTTATAACTACACAGTAAATTCAGCTGAAACGAGCGGAACTCCCGAATCTTTGATTTTGTCCAAACGCCGAGGTCTAGTATAAAAACTAATTCGAGTAAATATGCGATATATTCCTGAAGTATGCAATCTTTGGTCCTATTCCGTTAATTGCTTTAAACAGACACAGTCGTTAAAATTTGATCATATAGCATGACCTCACTACAATGATTAGAGCCTGTGTTCCTCAAGGCCTTCAAATACTCTAACAAAAACGTCGTGAGCTTATGTTAATGTCTGCCCTCACACATCATAAAGTTAAAAAAAACCTTTCTCAGTTTTCACGTCGGTCGGTCTGTCGAGGGGGTGGCGGTTGCAACCACATAAGATATCGCACCTTCGGTGGTCGCACGGACACGTGATCATGATCATAAGGGATCACCTGTCCATCGTCACTGAGGTCACGTGACCATAGCCCGTGGGGTCCCGTCCACCACGTGACCACATAAGAAATAGCGCACCTTTGATGGCCACACATGGTCGCGTGACTGAGTCGGAAGCAACCTGACAATACTGATAATAGCGCACCTTTGCTGGCCACATGTTCATGCGTAAGCGTCGTTTGCTTGTGGGTGGGGGTCACGTGACCATGGCCCATCGGTTTTCGTCCACCACGTAGCCACACTAGAAATAACGAACCTGCTGGTCGCACGGTCACGTGCCCATGATCCGTGGGGTCACGCGTGACCGTCGACCACTACGTGATCCCCCCGCAGTACCCTTCCGAAGCATCTTCAGAATTCCAAAAAAGCACTCACGGAAGAAGCCATATAAAGGACCTCACGGAAGTCGACAAAGATTCATGGAGGTTCCATAACAGTTCCAGACCCCTTTAACGAAGAAGCGTTTACGTTATAAAAGACGGTGCAAAATGCTGCGAGTTCCATGAGAATCTCCTACACGATTTGGCTTATAATTTCTTATTTATAGCTATATCTAATTTTTCTCTTCAATGAACCCCAGCAAACGTTACGATTCATCCCAGCCAACCCAGCCCGGTGAGCGTGCCACATGACTTTACATTTTTCGCACTGCTGCGCAATACCGTCTCATCACGTGGCGCACCCTCTGTGTTGGTTTGGTTCCGAGGTTCGTGAAGTACCTTTCTGTTCATTTCTGACTGAGACAGAGTAATAC